TGGAGCAGGGCAACTCACGTGCCATTAAATGTCATATAATGGACAACCAGGGGATCAGGCCCAGTCAGCATGGCTTCATGAAAGGCAGGTCCTGCTTGACAAACCTGATCTCCTTCTATGACAGGGCGACCTGCTTATTGGATGAGGGAAAGGCTGTGGATGTTGTTTACCTTGACTTCAGTAAGGCCTTTGACACCGTTTCCCACAGCATTCTCCTGGCAAAGCTGACTGCTCACGGCTTGGATGGGCACACGCTTTGCTGGGTAAAAAACTGCCTGAATGGCGGGGCCCAAAGGGTTGTGGTGAACGGAGTTAAATCCAGTTGGAGGCCGGTCAGGAGTGGTGTCCCCCAGGGCTGGGTTTTGGGGCCACTCCTGTTTAACATCTCTATTGATGATCTGGATGAGGGGATCGAGGGCACCCTCAGTCAGTTTGCAGGTGACACCAGGTTGGGTGGGAGTGTTGATCTGCTGGAGGGTAGGGAGGCTCTGCAGAGAGACCTGGACAGGCTGGAGCCATGGGCTGAGGCCAACTGGAGGAGTTTCCATAAGGCCAAATGCCGGGGGCTGCCCTTGGGCCACAACAACCCCCAGCAGCGCTACAGGCTTGGGGAGGAGTGGCTGGAGAGCTGCCAGTCAGAGAGGGACTGGGGGTGCTGATTGACAGCCGGCTGAACAGGAGCCAGCAGTGTGCCCAGGGGGCCAAGAAGGCCAATGGCATCCTGGCTTGTGTCAGCAACAGCGTGGCCAGCAGGGACAGGGAAGGGATCTGACCCCTGTACTTGGCACTGGTGAGGCCGCACCTCGATTCCTGTGTTCAGTTTTGGGCCCCTCACTACAAAAAGGACATTGAATGACTCGAGCGTGTCCAGAGAAGGGCAACGAAGCTGGTGCAGGGTCTGGAGCACAGGTCGTACGGGGAGCAGCTGAGGGAACTGGGGGTGTTTAGTCTGGAGAAGAGGAGGCTGAGGGGAGACCTCATCGCCCTCTACAACTACCTGAAAGGAGGCTGCAGAGAGCTGGGGATGAGCCTCTTTAACCAAGTAATAAGCAATAGGACAAGAGGTAATGGCCTCAAATTGTGCCAGGGAAGGTTTAGACTGGATATTAGGAAGCATTTCTTTACAGAAGGGGTTGTTAGGTTTTGGAGTGGGCTGCCCAGGGAGGTGGTGGAGTCCCCATCCCTGGAGGTGTTTAAGAGTTGATTCGACATAGCACTGAGGGATGTGGTGTAGTTGGGAACTGTCAGTATTAGGTTAATGGTTGGACTGGATGATCTTCAAGGTCTTTTCCAACCTAGATGATTCTGTGATTCTGTGAATCTTCGACTTGCAGGGATGTCACAGTGGAGGACTGTACCAAGCAGGTACAGAAAATGTACTGAATCTGATAGAAAAGCACCTGAAAATCACTCCACAAAATGCTTATTTTGGGCTCTGTGTATATGCGGCTCTAATTCTTCATGTTGATCTAGAGTCTACTCTGCTGCTGAATCTTCTGCTCCAAAGCCTGTCCTTTGTGAACAGTGACACCAAATCCAAGGTAGCTAATATATCCCTAAGGTAGCAGGGAGCAGGATTTATGATCGAATGTTGGAGAATAGATCTTCAAATGCTGGCACCAAACTGTTGTTGGGAAAATTTCTATTGATGACCTGTCAAGGCAGCATCCAAAGTAAGCCCAGTTCTTTCCACATCTTCCAGTCTAAAAGCTTTCATGTGAACTCAGGCAGTAATGATGTCAACCAGAAATTCCTACGTGTACCCTCAGCTGTTCTGTTTGCACAACTTCTCCATTCACTGTATGGAGGGGGAAAAAATGTGCTGTGGAGTTGGACTGAAAAGTAATTTTAGACAAGTAATTTTAGAGTCTGCCTATGAAGTACTTTGAGAGTTGACAATATCTAACAGTGCAAGGTACTTATGTTAGAGATTTGTAAAGGGAAGAAAGAGTTACCCATGCTGTCATCAAAGAATTTAGTGGGGAGGTTTATCTAAAGGGGTCTTAGTATTATATTTTTAAGTGCTGTGTGCATAGGGCTGTCTCTCACAAGGAACTTTTCTTCATCTAAGTCTTTTACATTTTTGAAGAAATGATGGCTGGTCTTTCTCTTTGTAAATCTTGTCTCTTCCTATCCCTCCCCCTTCATTTGCATCTAATGTGACTGTGTATCTCTGGGTCATATATAAAAGTACATGCATCGTGTGCCTACAGAGGAGGTTTTTTACACGCTTGTGGATATATTTATAAATACTATAGGCCCCCTTTTTCAGGTCTGTTTGAAAAATGTGTCCTGTATTGTGTATTCTGAGTAAACCAGCATCTCTATGTACCGTGTTGGTTCAGCCCTAATTCTGACTTCTGAGAGTAGTTCAGGTTTTCACTCATCTGGTCTTTGGTTTTTCTCCTGTTTCTCATGGGTAACACATGGCAGAACACTGAAATCATTGTTAAGGTGTTCACTGGGGTTTTAGTGGTTTGGTTAATGGTTGAACTGAAAACATTTAGATATCAAAACGATCATCAGATTGTGGCAATCTGGAGTGCTACTGATCTGAACTGAACTTGGTTAAATGAGTATGAAAAGTCTCTTCATTCCTTGACTCCTTCACTTCTTTGGTTTTAGTGTTAGATCTTGGAAAATGTATGCAATTCAGTATTTCCCACTAGCAGTTCAGGGAATGCTGAGTATGTAAGAAACAGAGGAAGAGCACTTATTTCCTCCACATTTCTCTTCCCAGGGAGGGAGGTGCAGCAATGGAAGCGAGGTCATGGAATCTCCATCTCTGAGGGTTCTGAGGACAAAGTAACAGCTGACTTGATGTAATGTTGATGGTAGCCTGGGGGTTCACTAAGTGACCTCTGGAGGACCCTTCCAACCAACATATCTGTGATTCTAAGTCAGAACAGATAAAAGAGCTACTGGTATCAAGTGGGAAAGATCTTCAGCTTGCAGACAAGAAGCCGCTCTGAGTCATGCTATTGTAATTATTGTAGGTTAAGAACAATAAGACTGGTCGCCTGGACAGCTCCTCTTATCACGTAATTCAGAGCCCTGATGATACTTACTTTGCTGCACTGAGTCCCTGCCTCAGTAACGTTTATCTTTTGGACTGAGAAAAAGTAATCTGTAGCCTTTGTTCTCCATATTAGCTGACACTGCATCTGAAAATACAGTATTATATCCATTAGCTACAGTCTGAGTTCGGGTGTACCAATATTGGTTTCCAGCAAAGACTTGACAATGATGAAATTATTAACTCCACAAGTGAAAATGCCCTTGGATGACTGTGGTAATCTTGTGATTTCTGTACATGCAGTCCTGTGGCTCTCCTGAACACTAACTGCACACCGAGGGTGAATGCTACAACTGAATTTTACGTGGAATTTAGGCAACACCTAGGTGCAGCCCATTGCAAAACCCCTTTCTGATAGGAGCCAATGAGAACAAGCTACAACTGCCTTGTGCAAATTTTTGCAATCTGCTATTGCGTGAACAGTTGGGAAGGTTGAAATCAGCACGAAAGAGCACTCGGGTTTTGCTTCGATTGCGCTTCCCCGTGTGAGTGCTAGGCATCTCTTGCTTCTGGGGAATTCTTTGCTTGATCTCTATCTCATAACTTTGGAGCTTGCAATGGAATCCTGTGCAAAACAGCTGTGTGGATTCACGGCAGCTATCTTCTTACCTTTCCCCGACACCATTTACGGTTTCAGTGTAAAGAGCCAGGGAGCGCAGCGTTGCGAGGTGGTGCCCAGCTTTTGTGAACAAAGGGGATTGAACAAATGTTAGGAGTAAAACAATCTACAAACTGCTAGCTGTTTGTTGGATGATAACTTTATGCAACAGCAATTCCATCGATCATCAAGGTCAGCTTTTTTGCTTTTGTTTCTCAAGCGAACCAGTTCCTCGGTTCCATGCTCCTATAGGCAAGACGGTAAAACAGCCAAGGATGTTAACTGCTTGGTGTGCTGACAGTGAACAGTGTTGTGGAGCTGCACACTTTTATCTGGGGACTGCCAAGGGTGTCCAGGTGTTTCTGTGTTAAACAGCGTGGCACAACACCTCTGCAGGAACTGGCAGGCGAGAGTGTTTGCTTCTTGACTTGGATTGAAAGCTTTTGAGTCAGCAATGTCAGGAAAACATTGCCACCGTCTGCAAACCAGAGAGAGCCCTGTCATGTACATACATGAGGAAAAAACCCTTCTGCTCATTTTTTCCTGAATATTTTGTAGGACAGTGCATTTAATAAAACTATCAGTTATGAAAATGGTGAATGCCCCTCTGTTTCTTGCTGTAGTCTCTCATGAGTATGGGGCTGAGTGGCAAAAGGGGTGGTCTTGGCAAACAGTTTATTAGTCTCAAATTATTCAGAACACAGGTTTGGATACAGATTGCAGGGAATGATAATGGAGTTGGTTTTCTGAGCCTGTTCATGCTATGAAGACATGGGGTATGCTTTTCAGGAATTCACTTAAGTGGAATCAGCTTTGAATAACGTAGCCTGGAAGTAATATTGCTGCCATCCAGCTAGTGTCTGTGGAACAGCATTCTCCAGCCTCCTGAAGCATTGGTGTTGAAGATGGATAGATAGGGAGATATTTATTTTTTGGGCCTTTTTTTTTTAAAAAAAAAAAGGGAAATTCTTTCTCACCACTAGAGAGGGGCATGTTTCGGTTGAGATTTTTTCCCTCCTGAGTGAAAGAGTGGACCACATCAGCATCCGATTTGGGCGCGTCATGTGGTTTCTCATGTGATGCTGGTCTCACTGCGCTTTGGAGAGTGAGCCTTTGTGACTCCGCACTCTTGGACAGTAGCATCCAGCAACAGAGGAGACTTCGGGGAAGGGGGAGGAAAAGATACACCCCCCCACACCCCACTCCAGAAAACCCCGAAAGCCCAGAAAAATAAAGTTACAATAATTTATTATAGTTATTGTTTCTTCTTAACTGCTTTGGCTTTTATTTTTAATTCTGGGTCTTCCCTTTTCTCCGTTCCTGCAGGCATAAAGCTGCACCGTTCGGAAGAAGCGAGATTGTCTTTCCGTACAGCTACAATGCTGCACCGCTCTCAACACAGCCTGCTTTTCCCCCATTTACCTGGGCGGCTGCTGCTGTTTCGGCTGCTGCTGGGGCTGCTGCAGTCTCACTGCCTGTGCTTCACCCCGGCTTGGCTGACTCGAAACTCACTCGTCTGCACATTGCTAAGGAAGAAGAACGATGGAGCCGCATTTTTTCTGGTTCTGGAAGCAAAGGGTTGCGATTTGTGATGATTTGGGTTGGTTTTTTTTTTTGG